GAAGAAGATTACTTAGAGATGATGTAAAGAAGGTGGCCCGATAGATGCATGGCCGCCAGCGGCCTCTAGTACCGACGGTGAAGGTTTAATAGCTCAAGGTACCCAAGGGAACGTGATAGCTACGGAGGGTGCACCGAGTCACGGTGATGATGATTTAGGTGTTCCGGAGGAGACACAAGCAGATCCGACGGAATCACCCACACCTCAGGTCGTTTACAAATATGAGTGTAGGGCGCTTAGATGTGAAGGTCCCCACGACGTGCCGCAGGAGACGTTGCCAGCAGGACGTGGAGGTCTAGGCTCTGTGCAGTCCGAGAGCGCTCAGGTCATAGGTCAAGTCGCAACAAGTAGCGTGCAGGAGTCCAAGCCGTAGGCCCAAGGTCATGCACTAATGAGGAGTCCAAGGGGGGCCAGTTGAGTAGTAAGATGAGGATAGGGGTTCCCACCGATAATCCACTAGGAGCAATGCAGTTGCTTCAGTCAGCTACGGGTCTCCACCAGGCTAAGCGTGTGGATGAGGCAATGTTTACTCCTAATATAGAGCAGCTGCTAGAGGGTTTGGAAGGGCCTCTTGAAGTGGTCCATAATGTTGCCCCGGTAGAGGTCCGTGCTCACCTAGAACGGTGGAAGGAGGCCGCACTCGCCGAAGTGCAATCACTAGAGAGCATGAGTGCTATAAGGAGGTACAAGGGGCCTGAGGCCCGACAGATCCTTCGCAGCGGGGATGTTGAAGTTATCCCAGCAAAGGCAGTTTGCACAGTCAAGCCAGGTTCCCCTTTCAAACGGAAGGTACGGGTAGTCTCGTGTGGCAATTTTGCCACCACCACAGAGGAGGCCCAACTCTACGCCGGAGGAGCGGGAGCTGAAACGCTAAGGACTTTGCTTGTGCATAATGGTAGAAGAGGCAGGCGATGTCATGGGTTGGACGTGAAGTCAGCGTTTCTGTTGGCGCCAATCCCGGCGTATGTGAAGAAGAAGTACGCAGTGAGACCGCCGAGACTGTTGGTTGACCTCAACATATGCTCTTCTGACGAAGTTTGGATGATAGATAGGGCACTATATGGATTCCGTGAATCACCACGTTGGTGGTCAGTGCATCGCGACTCGGTACTATCCACAGCAAACTGGACCACAGAGCACGGAAATCTACGTCTTCGACAATTGGCCAGTGATTCAAACGTCTGGTCGATAGAATTGGACACCGGGGGTTGTTTGGGACATCTCCTAGTCTATGTCGACGACATGCTCATCATGGCGGACGACTCCGTGGCTCAGTCGGTCTTTGAGTGGATAAGAAGTCGGTGGGACTGTACCGAGCTGCAAACAGCAACCAAGGAGAAACCCTTGAAGTTTCTAGGGGTGGATATTTATGAGGAGACGGACGAGTATGGCACAATAGGGTTTAGCTTAGGCCAAGAAGGATACATAGATGAGGTAATCCGCAATCATGGCACCCAAGCAAATCCTCGTGCTACAACACCGACGCCGAAAGAGTGGGTGCGTGAAGCACCCCCTCACGAGGACTACACTCCTGAATCCTTGCGAGAAGGACAGCGCATAACTGGGGAATTACTGTGGATTGCACAGAGAACTAGATTGGATGTCGCCTACAGCGTTGGGATGATGGCGAGCCTTGTGTCAAAGTCGCCGGGATACGTTGTGAAATTGGGCATCAGAGTGCTGGAGTATGTAGCAATGACCAAGGACCATCGGTTGGCCCTTGTTCCTGGAAAGGCAGACGGCATCCGGATATACACGGATGCGTCGTTTGCGCCGCATGGAGAGCACTCGATAACGGGCGTCATTCTGCAGTATGACGAGTGTAGTGTGGTGTGGAAATCCAAGAAGCAGAGCCTGGTGACGCTCAGCACCGCGGAATCAGAACTGGTGGCGGGTTGTGAGGGCCTCGTTCTGGGCCAGTCGCTTGAGGCTCTGATACAAGAGCTAGAAGGCGAGCCCCAGATGAAACGTCTCCTGGTAGATAATACTGCGGCCGTCATCCTAGCAGAGGGAGGCGGCAGCCAACGTACCAGACACCTAAGAGTTAGAGCAGGGTTCATTAAGGATATGCAGTCGAGGGGTGAGGCTTCTGTAGAGCACTGTCCCGGCGAATTTCAGCTCGCCGATGCGCTGACGAAAGCGTTGGCCCGAGCAAGGCATGAGATGCTGGCGCGCCTATTGGGTTTAGGCCCCCCGGGTGAGGTAGTTAAGCAACCCCAGGTAGCGGTAGTTAAGCAAGAGCCCGCCTCGGCAGGTGCGGCAAGTGTTCTTGCACAAGGACAGGCCGTCGGGACCGACGGGGCAAGGGTTGTTCAAAATAGGGGTGTAGCACTTTGGCTCTTAATGCTGATAGTTTGTGCACAGCTTGAGCTTGGCGAAGGTGCTGAAGAGGATGAGGTTGGTATTGGAGAACCAATAAGTGTAGAGTTGTCATTGATGATTGTGTTGCTGGTGATGTCCGTGTTATTCTTGTGGGAATCAGCTCGGCATTGTGTCGGCGTATGCTGCCCTCGGCACCCCGATGGGAGATATCAGGTGCGAACGTTGGAGGCTCCGGATGATGAAGCTTCAGAGGCAGCTAGTAGAAGGGGTAGGAGGCAAGAAGCCGTTCGTAGGGCTATAGAACGAGAAGTGCAGGACCAGGGTTTAAGACATAGGGTTACCCAAGGGTCCGAGCAGGGTGAAACAGGCGTGCATTCGTACGTGCACGTGCAAGTGGACTCAGGCTCCAAAACCCTTCGCGAGCACCCGCCAAGACCCCCTACCGATCCTGCTGACCATACCGAGCATATCAGGCCACCAGCTCCTCCACCAATTCCTCCTGGATTTCCATCCTCTCAATCCTCCACCTCGCCTATGGACTTCTTGGCTAGAACATCTGAGGCTGCTTGGACTTCTAAGGCCAGATCGACCCGTAGGGCCTCCCCCGAACCCTCACAGGATAGCACTAAGATTCATGAAAGGGTCATGAGGGATGCATCCACCCAAACAACTAGTGAAAGAGGATTTGAATTCTCTGAACTATGCGAGCTCCATGTATTGACGACTTCCAGTAGAGCACCAGGAGCATTGCATCTCTTCCCTACCTGTCATGCCCTGCGTAACACAGTTAGCCCACAGGAGAGGATGTTCTGTAGGTACTGTCTGCAGGGTGTTAGGGAGGGAAGAAGGAGGGGCTAGCGTCTTTCCGTCCTTAAGGGACGATGCAGACGAGGAGGAGTGTTGAAGCCCAGTGGGGCCAATGCTCCTGCAGCCCTGACGGCTTTGAAGTGGAGCTGAGCTCCATGAGAACAGCAATTGGACATACAGCATGCAGTGTAGCCGAGCTTAAAGGCATGGCTAGGCTTCAAGAAGCTAGTTCCGAGAACAGCACGCATGTCCGCTGTGTGGAAAAGAATTCGATACCTGTAGTAAGCCCATGGACGACCGCGCCAGTTCCCTGCTGTAACCGATACAACAGGAACGATACAGAGAAGACAGCATGGCATCAGGTGGTGACAACCCAAACGCTCACGACCTCCCGAGTCAGGTTCGTGAACAACAACAGGTTATGAGTAGCCCAACCGCGACTACTGCGCAGCGAGGAGGTGGACAAGGACCCTTGATGAATGGGATCCTGGGCCCTCTTCGTGGATCGCAGGACATTGATGGTGAAGTCAGAGCCAATCCGGAACCTATGGTGGCGACTGGAGAGGCAGCTCGCTCTGTGGAAGGGCCGAGTACATCTACTCCCGCGGCTCCTACCGGGGGCATGGGAGATTCAATGATGAGCCTGGCTGCTGCCACGGACGTCGGCGCATCAGGGCCGGATGATCGCACTACTGCACAAGGGGCGGTGGTGACTGAGCCCAGAGGCGAGCGAAGTGGATCAGCTCAGGGCCCGGGTAGTGTTCTATCTGGAGTGCTGCGTGCGGTTCAAACGTTACCGGCGACTGTTGAGGGCTTGGTGAGCCGATCAGGCTCTGGCCGAGGCATTCCCGGCACGCCAGGACTGCGGGACAGTGTGGAGTATGCCTCCGTGACGTCTTCTGCTGAGGTGCGGCCGAGGCCGCCGACAACGGATGCTGGCCCGCCTGAAGGGCCTTTGTTTGACTCGTATGCTCTGGAGAGGCTTCAAAGGCTACAAGAGGGAGCCCCGTTGCTTTATCCAGGTGATGCATCAATGTTGCCAAGTCCGCCGAGACCACCGTCTACTTCGTCGAGTGACGTTCAAGCGGAGGTTCGAAGGCAGCTTGCAGAACTGATGTCTATCCGCGATGAAGAAAGCAGGCGCCTTAGGGCGCAGGTTGAGGCGCTTTCGGTAGAGAACCAGAGCCTGAGGCTCAGGGCAGAGATGGATGTACAGTCTGGGATGCATTCCTTGAGACCGGGTGTGAATTTCCCTGGATTTGGGTGGTTTGGGAGAGGGTTGGGTTCCTTAATGGGTCAGGCCAGACAGCCTCGCGCCTTGGATTCGGGCACTCCTCCTCCACCGCCACCGCCTCCTCAGGAGTCGCATCTCCAAGTACCCCGACGTTCAACCCCCGAAGAACTTGCATCAGGAGCCCGGCGGTTCGAACCAGCCCAGAGCCCACGAGAAAGGTCCCACCATATAGTTCCTCAGCCTCTTGTAGACCCAGTGGCACAAGGTGTGGTAGGTGCAGGGGAGGTACCGCCTGATGTGGCCTCTCAAGCTGCAGTCGAAGTTCCCCTAGGACCCTCGGGTTACCCTAATTTAATTCCTACCCGAACCCCGGAACTGAGCCCGCCACATATTCCTGAGGCGCCCAGGACGGAAGCCGACCTGGATCCGATGACTGTGGTGCTTTCGGGCATGGCTCAGCTGCAGTCCGTGGTAACGGAATTAACAAGCCCTAAGTCCCAGGAGAAGCCCGAGGTCATAAAGCCTGGGGTAATGGCACTTCCCGAACTCCCAGGCCATGGACCAGAGTCATCGTTGGCCTTCGCAGACTGGCTTCACGCGAGTAAGCCTGCCCTTGCGGATATATCCGACTCGTCTGAAGAGCTTTGGACCCTGACAATAGCCGAAGCCACTGAATGGTATAGCTCCTACCTGAGGTTGGACCCGCTAGGAAGGCTAACTGCACGCCCGGAACCCAACTCCGAGCTAAGCAAGAGTAAGTGGTCAAGGGTTTCCCGACGCATGGAAACAATGATCATAACGGCCGCTCCGAAGGACATCCGGGATGAGATCAGCGCGTCAAGGACGCGGGGTTACTCGCCTTGGTTTGCCGGCTTTTCATAATATACGGCCCAGGCACCTTAGCAGAGCGAGAGTTAGGCCTTAAGCACATTTCAGATCCTCCTGCCGGGACCAATGTGCAGGACACCATAGAAATCCTTAGAAGGTGGAAGAGGTGGTGTGCACGTATGGTTGAGCTTGGGGGTACGCTTCCGGATAGTGCCATACAGGTAAAGGCTTTAACAAAGGCTACGAGGTCTGTGCTTTCGCAGAACCCTGAGATGGCGTTTAGGGTGAACTTGGCGCGTGCAGCACTTCAAGTTGACATGACTCCAGATGATGATAAGGTGAGTAAGTTGCATGCACAGATGTTAAGTGAACTAGAGGCGGTGAGCCATAGGGGGGATAAGGATAAATCCAACCGCGAGCAGCCCTCACAGGCAGGTGCTAGGGTGAAAGGTGTGGAAACTCCGAATCCACCAGCAGCGCCTCCCAAGGCGCCTAAAGCCCCTAGGCCCGATCCTAAGACCCCGAATGCACCCAAAGCTCCAATGGCTGGACCTGGCACGAACCCAAAAATCCCGTGTAACTTCTACACCGGCCCCAACGGCTGCAAGAAGGGAGCCGATTGTACCTATGAGCACAACTGGGCAGGGTTCAGCCAGGCAGAGAAGGCAGCTAGGTGCAAGTCGTGTGGCTCTCGAAGCCACAAGTCTTCGGATTGCAGAGCCGGCATGAAGCCGGAAGAGAAGGCTAAGCCTAAGGCCCCGCGAGGGCCAAAGGGATCTGATGACGCAGGACCCGCTCGCTCAGGTCAAGCGGATCCACCAAGCACGGATGCGAATTCCCAGCAGATAAAGAGCATGCTAGCAGACGCCGCAAGGTTTCTTCAGCAAGCAGTCCCGCAGGCCCCAGGAACCGGTTTGACGCAGGACCCTCCGGTTGCCGCTGTACCAATGTCTGCGGCGCCTGTGCCGCCTAGCGCCAAGGTGCCACAGCCCCCAATACAGGGTACACCGGTAACCCTGGCATCCATAAGCGCCCAGCTAGAGACCCTTAGAGCCATGGCCTCAGACCCTCAAGCGAGAATGGTCAGGGTCTCAGGAGGAGACCGGGAAGAGATCGGGCCTCATAGAGACCTGGTGTCCTTGGAGTCACTAAAGGGGGATCATGAGGCCTTAAGGGGGCTAGTTAGGTACTATGAAGTGCGAATGTGCAACTCCCAGGTTGCCGCGGCGACCAGGGCAGTCGCGCTTCTTGACAGTGGCGCCACGCATGCCGTAATCCCGTATGAAACGGGGATGACAAACCTAGAGAAGGTGCCAGTCACTTTGGCAGGTGATGCGAGACAGGAGTGGCTTAAGACGGCGGGCGGAACGCTTGTGGTACCGCCCGAGGTAGGTTCAGGCAGTGACGCAGGGCCCAGCCAGGTTATTCTACCCTTGGGAGCATTAGTAGAGAATCTAGGCTGCCAAATCACGTGGAGTAAGGGAAAGGGCCTCAGAGTCATGCATCCTGTCCTAGGCAAACTAAGCACAGGGGTATCTAGGAATACATGCCCGTATGTTCAAGAGCAGCATGAACAGATCCAGACCCTGGAGTGCCAGCTAGATGCATGTGCGAAGGCTGTGAACCCTACTGAGGCACTGCAGTCGTTCATAAGAACCCGATCCCGCCGAGACGCCTTGTGTGCAATGATTGCACAGCCCTATCTCCGACAGGTTCCCGATGAAGTGAAGGCCTCGTTGGCCGAGGACCTCCCAGGAGGAAGCCCTTCGGAAGGAAAGGCCGTTCTTAAGGACCTGCCGCTGAAAAGAGCATCTAGGAGGACTCTCTTGGATTCGGATAGGTGGGTTGTGCACCTCTGTTCAGGGAGACCTCGGTTGAATGACCCCGTGAGCAAGTGGTGCCAGGAGAAGGGCATGCCGCTACTTCATGTAGATATCCTTGAGAAGGGTGGAAAGGGATGGGACCTAACTAAGCCAAAGGGGGTATGGAGAGCCTTGATGTGGGCAGCCTTGCATGGAAAGATAGCCGTGGTGCTGTCGACCCCTCCGAAATATCAGGAGGGCCCGCGTCGGACACTGGCTCAGCAGGGAATGTTCCTTTGGTCTTTGGCCTCTATTGCCAGGGGTGTCGGGATTCCCTATGTTGCAGAGCACCCAGGGTTGCCCGAGCCCATTGCAGCTTCCTTTGAGGATTGGTCAGGTGTCACCCGTGTTAAGCTTAGCCAAGGGGCTCTTGGAGATAGGTACGTTAGGCCGACTGAGGTGTGCACGAATTTGGATTTGAGGTTCCTAGGCGAGCTTGAGTGGAAAGGGGAAGATCGCACCCCCCCGAAGGGAAGGGAGTGGACTGTTGGGTTTAGGACGGAGCTTGTAAGGGCCCTGTCAGGGAACCCCACGACTCCCTCGTGCGAGGAGTTGGACCGTCGCATAGCTCAAGCCCGAGCCCAGTCCACTCGGGTCCCGCTACCTGCTTCCCCGCGCACGACAGTGCAGGACGAGGAGGCGGAGGCCTTGCTGAGAGCCTTTGAGGCGGAGAGTGAAATGTCGTCAGATGTAGAAGAGGAGACACCTGAGGATCCCGAGGACCCAGAGGTGCAAGTGCAGCGAGTTGGTGATCTGTCGCCCGCTGAGGTGGAGCGCTGGAAGGCACATCTGCAGAACGGTCATGTGCCTTATAGGCGTGATTGCAAGCAGTGTGTTGAGGGTGCGGGCGTTGGTGTGCAGCACCGTCGGGTGCGGCACCCACAAAGCTACGCGCTCTCTGCTGATTTGTTTGGCCCACTTCCTGTGGGAGAGCATGGCCGAGATGAAACATGTGTGTCGGGGCGATGCCACCTGAAGTATGCCCTCATTGGAGCCTTCAGGGTTCCGAGGTCCGCAGTTGAAGGACATATTAAGGACACTGGGGTAGAGGATCTCTTTGGCGAGGACCCCACGGTAGACCCTTTAGATGAAGTCGGGTCCGAGTACGCACCTTCCGAGCCCCCACTGGAGCTCCCCGTAGATCCTGAGGGAGAAGGGGTTGCACCCGCCATTCCCGATAACAAGGTAGCTCTGGACCCGATGCAGGAGGATTTGCTGCGTGAACTCTTTGAGGAGCCGAACGCTGAAACATGCTCCCGGGCCCCACCCGCGTTTAGTGTTGAGGCTGTACGTGGAACCTCTAAAGAGGAGCAGAGCATCCTTGTTGAGGAATCAACTCCCCGGGACCCAGAGGCGCTTAAGGCCCTTATCGAGGATTTAAGGCAACCTGTTGACCAAGTTGTTCTTAGATATGTAATTCCTTTGAAAGGGAAATCAGGCCCCGAGGTTGCAGAGGGACTGCAGAAAATGATTTTGTCCATCAACACTAGGTACCCAGTGCGGATTCTGCACACGGATTTGGGAACTGAGTTCATTTCCAGTCAGCTATCTAAGTGGTTAGCGGGTCAAGGTATAAGAATGCAGCACACCCTCCCGACCGACAAGAAGGCTAATGGTTTGGCTGAAAGAACTGTAGGGTGGGTTAAAGCTAGAATAAGAACCCTACTCCGGTCGTCTGGACTTCACATTCGGTGGTGGCCCTTAGCGGCACGTTGGGCAGCTCAGGCACACAATCGTCGGATCTTGAATCAGCCAGAACTTCCTGCCTTTGGCCAGCCTGTACTGCATAGGATTAAACAGCCAGCGGATGGACTGCGACAGATCATGAGTCGTTGGATAGAGGTTCGGTACGGAGCCCCGCATTCCACGATACCCGAGGGGCATGTCCTTATCACGGATACTGGAAACTTGGTAGCCTCAAAGGGGTTCAGACCAGGTGTGGTGGATCCCACTACGATAGACGGGGCCCAGCTCCCAACGCTCCAAGACCAAGGCGAAGGGGCAGATCAGGAGGAGCTTGATCCCCCTGGTGTTGTGCTAGAGGAGATGCTTCCATTGCCCGGACGGAGCGGCTCCGGATCGCAGGTTGAGGGCCAAAACCTCCATTCGGTTCGTTGAGTGCCACGTAGGGACAGACGCTGAGTCCTTCGCCCACGGATGCATTCTCCGTGAAGAATATACTCGTGAGGCATTCCGATCGCTCATCGAAAGGGTGCCCATAAAGCTGTTCCAGTCTAAGGACCGCCGAGGCCAGGTGGAGGATAAGCTAGTGCTGGGCACTTATTGTCATGGGGGTCAGAGGGGGATAACAAAGTCTACGCTGATGCTTCCCCTCACCACTAAGTTTCTCAATAGATGCCTGTACTTGTGGATCCGCCAAGGGGATAGGGTTGATAATCCCTCCTGGACAGCCCTTATGTTAGTTAAGGCAGGGGATATAGATGTGCACAGGGATTTCAGAAATGAGTGGAATTCCTTGAACCATGTAGTCTACCTCCCTGGAGATCTAGAGTTGTGGAGGGCACCAGAAGGTGATGAAAGGTGTGTGCAACCGGACTGGTCCAGCGACCAGGTGGAGAGTCTAAGGACTGGAGTGTTGACCTTTGATGCAAGGAAACCCCATGCTGTAAGGAAGGGTTCTGATTGGGTCCTAGTTGGTTATACTCCACTGGGTTCCGCTAAGTTGACGGAAGATCGTTGGAGCGAGCTGCAGCGCTTAGAGTTCCTCACCCCGTCGAGGAGCGTTGAGCCTCCACAGGTAAGGATGATTTCATCCGGATCTGGAGACCCGGTGCCGGGCGGGGACATGGACCATATCGCTGATGACCTTGCCCAGGAACAGGGATCTCTGGAGGAGGACATCCAGCCTGACTCTAACACTCAGCTAGTGGGCTGGGACTTCAGTAATGGGGACCCAGGGGAATTTCCCAGGCCAGACCTACAAGGAGGGAATATGTATGCGTTTCTTCGGGAAAGGTTCGCGGAACATGAGTGGAGGCGGTTGACGTTCCTCGGAGTTGAGGATCCAGCTGACTTGATATACTTGTTCGAGGAAGACTTGATTGAGTCGGGCATTTCCCCCTTGACCGCATCACGTATTATGAATGGAGTGCACCCCCCGGGTACTAGGAGACCTGACTGCCCCGCCATGTCAGGCCTTAGGACAGGGGAAGTTAGGCTCTATGATAGATCGCAACGCCAGATCCCGAGGGTCATCCAGAATCGAACTCTTCGCCAAGGCAACCCAGATGTTCCCATAGAAGGGCTCGGAATTAGGGTCCCAGGGGCTCAGGAGGAGCACGTTGCTCGTCCGCTAGATCCGCTGCGTGTTCCCGAGGAGACACCACAAGCAGATCCAACGGAATCACCCACGCCTCAGGTGCCGCAAACTGCGGCTTGTTCATCGCATGAGCCTTTGAGAAGGCCGCATCAATCGGAGATTTATGAAGAAGATTACTTAGAGATGAT